TAAATATATATGCACCGAACATAGGAGCACCCAAATACATAAAGAAAATCTTAGAAGACTTCAATAAAGATATTGACAGCAAAACAATTACAGTAGGGAATTTCAACACTCCACTGTCAAAAATGGACAGGTCTTCCAAACAAAATACCAACAAAGATATTGTGGCATTGAACAAAGTTCAATGAACATAACTGATAAAGAGACCATGAAATGAACATAACTGATAAAGAGCCCTTCATCCCAAAGAAGCTAAATACACATTCTTTTCAAGTGCACATGGAACATATTCAAAAATAGACCACATGATAGGACAAAAACAAGCCTCAACAAATTCAAGAAAATTGAAATCATACCAAGCATTTTCTCTGACCACAAGGACTGAAACTAGAAACCAACCCCAAGGGAAAAAACCCAAAACACCCAAAATCATGGAGATTGAATAGCATGCTATTAAACAATGAATGGGACAAAAATGAAATTAAAGAAGAAATCAAAAAGTTCCTGGAAACAAGTGAAAATGAACTCACAACAACCCCAAAATTATGGGACACAGCAAAGGCAGTCCATAGCAATACAGGCCTACCTAAAAGAGATAGAAACATTTCAGACAAACAACCTAATCCTATGCCTATAAGAGCTTGAGGAACAATAACAAAGACAACCCAGAGCAAGTAGAAGGAAAATAACCAAGATCAGAGTACAACTAAATGACATAGAGATTAAAATCACAATTCTAAGAATCAATGAATCCAGGAGCTGGTTTTTTGAAAAAATAAACAAAATTGACAAGCCTTTAAGCAGGTTCATCAAGAAAAGAAGAGAGAGGACCCAAATAAACACAATCAGAAATGAAAGAAGAGAGATTACAACTGACACCGCAGAAATAGAAGGGATTGTAAGAAATTACTATGAAGAACTGTATGCCAAGAAATTTTAAAACCTAGGTGAAATGAACAAATTTCTAGAAAAATATAACATTCCAAAATGCAATGAAGAAGAAGCAGAAAGCCTGAATACACCGATAACAGCAGATGAAATTGAAGCAATGATTAAAAAAACCTGACACACAAAAGCCCTACACCAGATGGTTTCACAGAATTCTACGATGCATTTAAGGAAGAGCTAACCCCTATCCTTCACAGACTATTTTTAAAAATCCAAAATCATGGAAGACTTCCAAACTCTTTTTATGGAGCCAGCATCATCCTAATCCCAAAACCAGATAAAGACACAACAAAGAAGGAAAACTTCAGGCCAATATCACTGATGAACATAAATGCTAAAACCCTGAACAAAATATTGGCAAATCGCATCCAACAATACATTAAAAAGATCATTCACCATGACCAAGTGGGATTCATCCCAGGGATGCAAGGATGGTTCAATATTTGCAAATCAGTAAACGTAATACATCACATAAACAAAAGCAAAGACAAAATTTACATGATCATATCGATAGATGCAGAAAACTCATTTGATAAGATACAACACCCATTTATGATAAACACACTCAGCAAAGTGGGAATAGAGGGACCACAACTCAACATAATAAAGGCCATATATGAGAGACCTACAGCCAACAACATACTCAATGGGCAAAAACTAAAAGCTTTTCCAGTAAGATCAGGAACAATACAAGGTTGTCCATTTTCACCACTTCTATTCAATATAGTATTGGAAGTTTTAGCCACAGTGATTAAACGAGAAAATAAAATAAAAGGCATCCAAATTGGAAAGGAGGAAACAAAACTGTCATTGGTTGCAGATGACATGATAGTGTACATAGAAAATTCTATAGACTACACCAAAAAACTGCTCAACCTAATAAATGAATTTGGCAAAACAGTGGGATATAAAGTCAATATCCAGAAATCAAAGGCGTTTTTGTATACCAACAATGAAACAGCAGAAGCAGAAATCAAGAAAAAAATCTGATTTGATATAGCAAAAAGTAAAATAAAATACCTAGGAATAAACCTAACTAAGAAGGTAAAAGACCCATATGCAGAAAACTACACAACACTGAAGAAATAAATCAAGGAAGACACAAACAAACGGAAACATATACCGTATTCATGGATTGGAAGAATTAACACCATAAAAATGTCCATACTACCCAAAGCAATTTACAGATTCAATGCATTACCTATTAAAGTACCAATGGCATATTTCGCAGGCATAGAACAAACACTTCAAAAATTTATATGGAGCTATAAACAACCCCGAATAGCTGCTGCAATTTTGAGAAAGAAGAGCAAAGTAGGAGGGATCACAATACCTGATACCAAACTGTATTACAAGACCACTGTAATCAAAATAGCCTGGTACTGGCATAAAAACAGGCACATGGACCAATGGAACAGAACAAAGAGCCCAGAAATAAACCCAAGTCTCTATGGTCAATTAATATTTGACAAAGGGAACAGCAACATAAAATGGAGTAAAAATAGCCTCTTCAACAAATGGTGTTGGGAGAACTGGACAACTACGTGCAAAAAAATGAAACTTGAGCACAAACTTACACCATACACCAAAATAAATTCAAAGTGGATAAAAGACTGAAATATAAGCCGTGACACCATTAAAGTCCTAGAGGAGAACATTAGCAAGAAAATCTCAGATATTTCACGCAGCAACATTTTCATTGATATGTACCCTAGAGCAAGGGTCATAAAGGAAAGAATAAACAAATGGGATCTTATCAAAATAAAAACCTTCTTCATGGCCAAAGAAAACAGTATTAAAACAAAAAGAGAACCAATTGTATGGGAAAACGTATTTGCCAATGATACCTCAGACAAAGGTTTAATCTCCAAAATATACAAAGAACTTATATGACTCCACTCTAAGAAGACAAGCAACCCAATTAAAAAGTGGGCAAAGGACTTGAACAGACACTTCTCTGAGGACATACAGAGGATCCAGAGACACATGAAAAGATGCTCAATATCGCTAGCTATCAGAGATGCATATTAAAACCACAATGAGATACCACTTGACACCAGTCAGAATGGCCATCATAAACAAAGCAACAAACAACAAGTGTTGGAGAGGTTGTGGGGAAAAGGGGTCCTTAGTTCACTGTTGGTGGGATTGCAGACTGGTACAACCGTCATGGAAAACAGTATGGAATTTTTCTCAGAAAACTAAAAATGGATCTGCCTTTTGACCCAGCAATTCTACTGCTACGATTATATCCTAAGAACCCTGAAATGCCAATCCAAAAGAACCTATGCACCCCAATGTTCATAGCAGCACAATTTACAATAGCCAAGGGCTGGAAGCAACCTAGGTGCCCATCAGTAAATGAATGGATCCAAAAACTATGGTAAATTTACACAATGGAATTCTATGCAGCAGAAAGGAAGGAGGAGCTCCTACCCTTTGTGACAGCATGGATGGAACTGGAATGCATTATGCTGAGTGAAATAAGTCAGGCAGTGAAAGACAAATAGCATATGATCTCAGCTTTAACAGAAAGCTAAACAATAAAACAAACAAGCAAGCAAAATATAACCAAAGACACTGAAACAGAAAACAGGCTGACAGTGACCAGAGGGGAGAGGGGAGGGCATTTCAGGGGAAAAGGGGAAGGGTTTACAGGAACAAGTATAAAGGACACATGGACAAAAACTAAGGGGAGTGATAATGGGAAGGAGGTGGGGAGCACTGTGGGGGGTGGGCTGGGATGGGGTAAAAGACAGAAAACTGTATTTGAACAACAGTTAAAATAAATTTTTTAAAAGATAGCCAAGATAAAAAGTAAAAAATCTGAAAAAAACACCAACAGTCAAGCTTGTGGTAAGTGATTGCCCAAGTTATAATGAGTCCAACAAGCTCATTCTTGTGTGATTTCTAAAGCCAAATTCATATCTGAATAGTAATAGGGATACTTTCTGGTAAATTGAATTTGCTGGGTGGACATGATGCAAATGATAAACTATCTTGACATAAACAACTTTTTAGGGTACAGAAAATATGAGCATTGAAATTCCTGAGAGAAAGGCACACCTCCTCTGCAGAACATATTTATAAATTATTCATAATGATTTGGGCAAGTGAAAATTTATGGGAAGTTCTTTATAGTCACAATATGTAATAGTAATAAATATGTTTTATCTTCTAAAGTGACATTGTAATAATCATAACTATATTAACAGTGAGGAAAATTTGAATGTTGTGTCAATTTTAAAACTTTCTATTCATTAGATGTATCAGACCTAAATATTTTAATTTTATCTCAATGGAAATTATTTACTCATATTATTACTATTATTATTATTATTCTGGCGCTTTCCTGGTCCTCTCTAGCCTACTCATTGGGGTGCAAACTTAAGCATTGTAGGTCCTAGAACTTGGTAGCCCATTCCATTTACTCAGAAAAATACTAAGTGGCAGAATACATAATGGTAAATGTTACACATTTAAAATAAATATTTTTAAAGCACTTGTAATAATAAAACTAAGTAGCAAAAACAAAAATAGAATATTAAACCTTTGGTTTTATACAAATGAAATTGTTCTCCCCTGTCAGTAAATTACAAACTATCTTGATTTGCAGTGAAGCCCAGTCTGTACTGAAAGGCAAAGTAACTGACGGCAGATTCAGGAATATTTCTTTGATTCACAGGTTATGCTGTTTCCTGGTTTGCAAATATCCAAACTCCCTTTGCTGGAATCTGATAGAGTTGCTAGGAACTTTGGAGCTGGTCCAATCCTGTTTACACCAATGGGGCCGTTCCTGACTTCAGGTTCTTTTTTGTTGTTTTAATTATTTTTACTTCTCTGGATTATGTCCACAGGTAACAGGAAATCAGTGTTTCAAAGGAAAACGTGATCACATTGCCAGATAACACATATATCCTAACCGAGAGGGCGAGCGCCCGAGGCTTGGTGCTGCTGCCAAAAGTACATATTTTTTTGATTGGTAACTGCCAGATGACGCTTCATCAAATATAAATGCAAGAAAGACTCAGAGAGCTCCATAAAAACCTGCTACCAGTCAGTCTAGGAGGATAAGAGCGAGATACTGTTAAGAAGGGCGGAGATGACTTTCGGAGTTTCAGTATTAGTCTATCTCTTATTCAATGGTAGGTAATTTCTTTTTGTTTTATTAATTTTGTATCAGTGTAGAATGTGAATAAGGTTTGTTTTCTCTGAATTAATAAGAAGTTGGTTTTTAATAGTTGTTCTTCATGACAAGGATTAGAGCAGGGAATCTGTGATTTAATTTAGTTTCTTAGGTAATGTATGTTCCTCTCCTGAAACACTGTGATGCCTCTTTTTTTAAAGATCTTTAAAATATTTACTTTATAAAACCAACGAGTAGTTAATACTTTTTAACTACTATGAGTATATCACAGCATCCTTGTGATTGCATCAGTATATCAATATTTTCTCTTAAATATTACTGTGTTTCTATTTTCTATAATGGACTAAGTATAGATGAGAAAGTCAGGAAATTGCTGTAGTCAGTTTATTGAACTCAAATGTAAATGAATTGAAAATCAAACGCAAATGGGAATAAACAGAATAACTTTTAATCTGTTGCTTATACGTAGAAGGAGGCTCACCTGTTAAAGATGCTTTCTTCCTCTTCATCCAGCAATGGTGGCATTAACAGAAGAGGTGTCCTTGAAGGGGACACTGGGAATCACAACCCAGCAAAGTAATTGGACCGTTAACAAAACAAAAGGTATTTATTTTCTTTGCACTTTTGTATTTCAAGTGACTTATTTTTAATTTTTGATAGAAATTTGGATCGTGATAAAAGAAACATTGGAAAATTTTAATATATGTTTTATGATTAGAGAGTCAACTCTTGTAGTTGCAAGTAACAAGTAAATGGGGTCTGCAACAAATTGGCTTTTTAAAGGGAGGAAGTGAAGCAAATGATAGACTTTGATTTTTGCTTGCTTCCCCATACCCCACACATGTCCAGAGGCAGTCAGTCACCAGTTGGGCATCATGTTTTGATCTGTGACTATGAGCTTTGCAACCAAAGAAGTTATGGCTACAAAATGAAACCTTAATTAATGTTCTCTCATCTTTAGAAATATCTTTTTTCTTGTTTCTTTTTTGGGGTTTGTGTTGTTGTTTTAGTATAGGCTATATTTCCCGCCCACTCTGCCCAATTTTTACTGGTGATCATAGGTTTTCTTTATTATATTATTATTTTTATTTGAGTAGCTTCCTGCTGCTGTTGAGCATCAGCATATTTTCATACTTGTTTGAACTCTTAGAGGTGAACTTGGAAAGCTTGTTGTTACCTGCCAAGACCTGTGTACTGGGCGGTTACAATTCTCACGCAAATCACACACTGCCCCCTGATGTGGAGTCTGGTGATGTGACACAGGATGGAGGAAATACCATATCTTGCTCTCAGAGCCAGACAAATAAAAAAAGATCAAGTCAAATATTTTTCTTAATATGAAAGATAGTAATAATTAAGAATTATTCATTTCACCCAAAATTTTAAATTTTAAAAAAAGGTATTCAGAATATTTTTGCCCACTTGAGTTTTTTAATATCTATCAGTTTGCAAGCCAAAATCAGCATGGGGTTTAGAATAACTTTGATGTCTTCATGTGTTCTGAGCCTTTGAACAAAAAGGAGAAGGAATACCTTCCTTAGAAGTGCATACTGCAGAAAATTAAAGTACATGTCCTCTCAGTGACTGAGTTCACGACAGCATGCCCAGAACACCTCTGTTCTTCCTTAAGAGGGAATTGCAAGTAACACTCTCCAAGTTACAGGCATTAATAATGGGAAAAAGCAATTGAATATACCATCTCTCTTGTTTTCCCTTGCTTTCTTGAGGGAAAACTTAAGTTTTTCCTTGCTTTTTATATAACTTAAAATCTGAATCCAGTATTTTAGGAAATTTTAAAATGTTATGTATAACTAATATTCATCTTCTTAGGGGAAAGATGAACCTCTGCAGCATTACCCTTTCTTTGGGAATGTCTTCTTTCAGTTTCACACTTTCTAGCAAATCTTAATTTGCTTACATCTTGCAGTAGAAAAAAACCTAGCCCAGTGTATAACGCAAAATTCTCACTGCTTCAGAATTAATTATTAAAATGAGGAATTAGATTCATGACACCACATTCAGCAAAATGAATGTGAATTTTAAGGTACGGTGGGTTCTCAGTCAAAAGGAAGTTCTACAACACAGGATCTTGTTGGTGCCTTGGTACTTAGAGATTTAGTATTTAGAGATTTAGTATTTTCAATATTAAAAAGTCTGCCTTTTTGGATATGAACTGATAAATGCGAGTTTTTAATTTCAGCAATAGGAATATGGTATAACATAATAACTAAGGATGAGGAGATATTCATGACATATTTATTCACAATGACAAAGTAAAATGCCACAATCTATTTGAGAAAAAGTTAAGTATCAGCAATTAAAATGTGCCAAAGCGGACTCAGTTATACAGTTTGATTGCTGTCATTCCCACTGCATAAACCCCAAGTACGTATAGGTATATGTCCATAGTGCATCAGGGAAGGAAGAGTACGCATCCTGAAATGTGTATGTTTTGCCAGCTGCCAACCCAGCTTCCCAAAGGGAAGCTGCCCATAAAGAGGCTTCTGGACACTTGACCATAAAAGTTCTGTCAAGTGTGGTGACTTGCATAGTATTTAAGAGCTAGAAATGGAAACCCGTGCTTAAATTCCAATCCCAAGGTTTCTCCCACTATTTCATAATGTCTCTTAAACAAGTAAAATTTCTAAATGATATTTAAAAGTATTGTCTTAACCACGTTAAGCCTAAGCCATAAGTTGTTCCCGGCTTCTTGTATAGGTCATAACCATACCTCTTCTGAAATCAGGTAGGGAAATGTTCTCTTTTCAATTAGCTGCTTGTGGTAGTACACACAAGCGGGAATTCTCTTCTCTCTCCCCTTTGGGAGAAGAGAAATCAGTTCATTATCTCCCAACTATAAACCCAAATCTTCCTAAGTGCTGACTCCTTAGGTGTGAAGGGAAGAATGAAAAAATTGTGTGAGAGCTTTTTAATACTTAATAGCAGACATTTGGGAAGCCTTGCTCAAGGCAGCTAGCTAAAACTCTTTGATGCTGCCACCTTTTGGCAAACTTGTCTTGTATAGCTTGTTATATGTTACTTCTAAAGAAGGATACAATCAATTTACCTCCACCCCGTAATTAATTAATGATATACCTAGGTACTCTTAACCTAACCTTTGTGAATATAACCTGCCAAGGGAACCAATCAATACTTTTATGGACAGAGCACTCAAAGAATATTCTTACAATCAAAGGTCTCTTTAACACATTACAAATCTGTTATAAAAATGTGAGCCACTTCGTCTGTTAATATTATTTCTCCTTTTCCTATCTGACTGCCTAGAAGGACCTATAGCCTTGAAGTTCTCACTTTCTTGCCTGGAAGACCACAACAGTTACTGCATCAATGGTGCATGTGCCTTCCATCATGAGTTGAAGGAAGCCATCTGCAGGTAATTGCAAAGAGCTTTCCAAGTCCTAGAGATGGGAGCAGGTGAATGTATGCCGCCAGTGTTTCACATAGTACATTTCCACACACCTCTGTTTTGTGAAGCAAAAAGGGTACATGATCTAGTCATGACTCACCAATCCTCTCTGAAGTTGAGTATCTGAGGAGTCTTTTTCTAAGCTACCTAATCCTCGTTACTCAAAAATATGGTTCCCAGATTAGCAGCATCTGTGTTACCTGGGAGCTTGTTAGAAATGCAGAAGCTTATGTTCCACTTCAAAACTACTGAATCCATGTCAGCATTTTAACATCATGCAGATATGATTATAGAATGAAACAAAACAGGTTATGGTAAAAACACTTCAAGAATATACACTTCTAGAGCAACTAAGATAATGTTTTTGTGATCATTGATTTGCTCAGTATCCTCCTATGAAAGAGTAAATAACCTTCTCGATTAAGGCATTTGAGCACAGGTGCTACCTTACCTTTCTACCAACAAGGAAAGTTGCATTGATATGGGGCCTTAATGAAATGATTATTATAAAACACATAGCTTCTTCAATACTGTAACAGATTGGCTTTCATTTGGTATTTGGCCCTTTCATTTAAATTGCATACTTTCCACTGAAATTGTGTCATTCTTGGAAATTTGTCTTTTTTGTATTTCTATCATCACGAGTTTTAAAATTATTCATTTTCTTTTTGTAAAGGTGTTTTACTGGTTATACTGGAGAAAGGTGTGAGCATTTGACATTAACTTCCTATGCTGTGGATTCTTATGAAAAATACATTGCAGTTGGGATTGGCGTTGGATTATTATTAAGTGGTTTTCTTGCTATTTTGTACTGCTACATAAGAAAGAGGTATGGAAAAAAACAAAATACAACACCACTGGGTACTTGTTCATTTGAAAAATATTTATTGAGCCCCTACACTGTAATAGGCACTGACGTGTATAGTTTTTAAGTGAAAATATGGCTGCAAATCTGGCAAGCTCCCACATATTTGTTTTAATACTTCTTCTCATAAACCTAGAAAGCAGTAAAAATTTACCTGTAGTTGCGATAAGCTCTAACTTACAATTTCCCTCCATCTTCATCCCTGTCTGCCTACATATAAATGAGGAGGTCGGTAGGCCCCACAAAGGTGGAGATTAAGTGTCTCTCATTCACAATTATGTATTCAGTGCCAAACACTATGCCTGGCACACAATAGACACTCAGGAAATATTTGTTAAATGAAGAAATCAAGAAATGAGTATTAAATGAATGAAAATGTATGACAAACATGGACCATTTACTTCCCAACCATCAGCTGAGGGTTTACTCACCAGGTACTATCTACTGCTAGAAGTTTAAGAAGATAATATCAGTCCACTAAGTATAAAGTACTTGTGTATTAATTCTTATTTCTTTTTTTAAATATTTTATTTATTTATTTATCTTTAGAGGGGAAGGGAAGGAGAGAGGGAGAGAAACATCAATGTATGGTTGCCTTTCACGCATCCCCTTCTGGGAACTGGCCTGCAACCCTGGTATGTGCCCTGACTGGGAATTGAACCGCGATTATCTGGTTCGCAGGCCCTCGCTCAATCCACTGAGCTACACCAGCCAGGACTAATTCTTATATCTGGTGTATCCACACAGGCCATTCTTTTCCTTAAATCCATATGGCTAGGGAAAATAAAGAAATGATGTGAGATAAATTAAAGTATAAATATATTTCCCTTGGCATACTCTATTAACTAAGTCATCATTTTTTAAAATGGCCAAGATAGTCAAAGTAAGAAAAATTTCTGTTACTGAATAATTATATCTTAGAGAGAATAAAATTTGTTATACCAAATGCAGATTAATTGATATAAAATCTGTTACATCAATTGATATTATTAGGTTAATTTCTTAAGAAAACAAAAAGGAAAGAAAAAACAGTAGACCTTTTAATGTTAAAAAAGACAGTTATCTGCCCTGACCAGTATGGCTTAGTTGGTTGGAGCATTATCAGTAAACCGGAAAGGTCACTGGTTCGACTACCAGTCAAGGCACATACCTGGGTTGCAGGTTCATCCTTGGTTGGGGCACATGCAAGAAGCAACCAATCAGTGTTTGTCTCTAACATCCTCACGTAGATGTTTCTGTCCCCCCACCTTTCCCCTCCCTTCCCCTGTCTCTGAAAATCTATAAGCATGCCCTCTGGTGAGGATTTAAAAAAAAAGACAGCCATCTGAGGTCAGGTTCCCTAGAAGCAGAACATAAAACAAAGATTCTTGTGCAAGTGTTTGGTGAAGGGACACCCTGGGACGAACTTGTAATGAAGTAAGGAACGCTAGGTCAGAGGAAGAAGGTAAGAAAAGGAGGGGCACTAGCTGAAGTGGAGCTTAATCTGCCTGATGCCAAGAGCAGATCTTGAACATGAATGGCGTTACAGACCTACCCCCAACAACATGAGGGATCTTAATTTAGTGTCCTGGGTCATCAAGCACGGGTGGCAGGATGTTCCTGGAAGGGTAGAGGGCTCGGGCCAGGAATCTCCCAGGAATCATCAGGCAAATTTTCTGTAGTCCCAGGGCAGTGCTCTGGGGAAGGATGCTGCTGTGGGCCTGGCAACACCCACGGCCACTGGGGTTGGGTCCACCATTGAGTAAAAGGGATCCGGGGCACCACCAACTGCTACACAAGAACGTTTATGTAATCCTGGATATGCTATACACATAGCAAATTCATGTGGAAATCAATACTCTGTTTCAGGTGTCCAAAACTGAAATCCCCCTACAACATCTGTTCCAGAGGAAGACCACTGTGAGGCCTTCATAAGAAATTTTTTTGAGGCATATGTAAAAAATGAGTGGATCCCAATTAAAATTTTCAAATGAAGCAGCAAACCTTCCCAAGCTGACTAGACTTGAAAATAATGAAAGCTGGGATCATGATGAAATAAGAGAATAAATTTCAACATTGGTCTTTAGACTTTGTAATTGTTATGGTACCATGGGAGCCAATGGAATAAGCTTACAGTGACAGAAGTCAAGTTCATAGTACTGCTCTGGGCCTGTTGCTGTTGTGGTATGGCTGTTGCTCGTAGTGCAAAGAGACTGAGTTTCATGCTTCTGACAATGTCAGATGTGGGTTTTCCTGGAAATAACTGTTAACCCTGCAGCAAGCTAAAGCAATGCCATGCTTGGGATCTTCATGTGCTTGCCACCAGTAGTTTGGACCATACCTCTCAACGGACCCAATCCCAAAGGTGCTGCTTTCATAGTATCTAAAAGAATGTGACGCCAACTCTTTGGATGGGATCAGTGTTATGGCACCTACAGTGAACCAAATATAAGTCTGGAGTCTAAGTCAGAGACAAGAAGATGGAATTCCGAGGCAAACATACATCATACCAGCTTGTGACAACACCATGGAGCCTCTATCTGTGAAATATGGAATAAGCTGAAGAATTGCTGATGACTGAAAGCTCTCTGGATATGGAGCCCTGAGTAGGCAGAACATTTCTATTCTCTTCATGGGTTATAAAACATTGTGTTCGACTCATCGGTCCTCTAATGCTTACAAGTTCATCACTTCCTCCTCTTGTTAGAGGAATTACCTGGTGACTATCCATTTGGACTGAAATTCCACCAGGAATTACCTGGTGACTATCCATTTGGACTGAAATTCTAAAATACTACTAATAAATGAAATTCTGCAACTGACCCCCAAAAGAAACAAAAATTGGACCCAGGATTTTTTCATCAGCCAACAGCATGTGGAAACTTCCCTTACCACTTATAAATTCTTGATAGCAGATTTGCACATAGGGAGAGAAAATGGGACAATGGTAGAAAGAACTATATCGGAATTAGGGCCCTTTGTCTTCAATCATATTTCTTCCATGTAATTAGAATAATCTTGGGCTGGATGGTTGATATCTTTGGGCTTTGGTTTCATTTTCTACAAGGAAGGAAAAAAAAGCAATTTTTCCTTATCTGTGCTGCAAGTGGGATATTCTCAACCCCTACCTCTCAATCCAAAACACACCATTGGCTACCATCTTAGATAAATATTTTAGTATTTGTTTTGTAAAATAATGATTTAAAATCTGTTTTTGAAGGAAGCAAGACATAGAATTTAAAAATAGTATCTACAATTCTTCTTTTACATTCAGTCTAAAACTCTGGACTTTTTTTCATGGTGATGTTGAGGAGGAAAACCATTTCGATCATGAGATGAGTAAAAACAGGATCAAAATGAACATTCTTACAGTGATTGCCCCATAACAGGCCTTTTGTTTGTATGAAGTTATGACTTTTCATTCACTCTTAAACAAAACTTTACATTCTGCTTTCCTTTGAGTAGAAGGTATTTCACTTGCTTTGTTTTGCCTTCAGAAGGAATTTAAGGTGGATGAGTTGCGTGTCAGCGCTTCCTGACTGTCCTCACAAAGTATGTAAAGGTTACATCACACCAAGGAGTGGGGAGGTGAAGGTTCCTCCCAGTGACTCCAGCGACCACACCTAGAAAGCTACGCTCTCACTGAGCATTTCACAAAGGTGTTAAAAAGCTGGGGAGAGTCCAGGAAGAAACAATAAAGCTTAATGAAGAACTGCCTCCTGATGAAAGAGAAATTAATGCTGGAGTCTGGAAACTCCAACATTAACCTAAACATTAACCTCCAGCAATAACCTAAAAAGTTTTAAGCATTTGCTGTCTATAAATATTTCTCAATTTTAAACACCATATGGTTGAAATTAAACAACACTAGGCAAAAAATTAAAATTCCCAGATTTCCAACCAGAAAAGTATGCCAAGACAAAAACAACAGAGATGAAGATTTTTTCACCTGTGGCACAGTAGGCATTCACAGGATAAAATCCGCCCTAGGAGATGATAGGAAGGTAGAGTGTGGCTCCTGAGAAGCCATCTGTGTGTGGCCTGTCACACACACAGTCCTGTGACCCCACAGTCCCTGCAGTTAAATTTGGAGGAGGGCATCTCTGGCTTTCCAATGGAGCTAGAGCCGCATCTGGCAATATTTATGTTTGCAAGCAGGACTTCGGTGAAAAAAGGCATAAATACAAGATGTTCTGCCATTTTTTTCACTTTTTTTTCTTCCTATGTACAATAAAACCCTGAAAGGAGTCTACCATGGAAGCCCTTGCATCAGAACTGTATTTTCAGCTATCACTCCATGGATCATTAGGTGGGTAGATCAGTTCGGAAAAAAACGAGAACATGCTTCTGGCATTTTTGATAAAATCAAACTGGCCAAGGGGTCCATCAATGTCTTTCATTTCAATTTTGTCTTCTTCCCGAGTCTATCCTTCTTTCTTTGAGAACACATCCCAGGATATCCGTATTCATGAGTTAGCATTTTGAAGCATGATGGCATGGGGACAAATGTTACAATTCCAGTCACACTTAAGCAAGTAAATTTATAAAAAGGGAATTATAGTTGTTTGTTATTGTATCTTCTTTTCCCAAATTATTGATTTTTTGGTATAATTATGTTTTTATAACATTTGAAGTGAATGAAATGACAACATAATTTATCATTTACTGTTTCCTGAAACAATACAAATATAATCCATTAATTTTGAAATGTCCTTTTTGGTGACATCAAGATGATTTTTATTCATTGTATGTAATTGAAAGAAGTCTTAAGAAAACCACAAGGCAAATCCTAGCAATGTAAGCTTTTAATGTTGCACATAAAAACAATCAGAAGACCATGAGTGAGCCACCTACATTTGTGAATTACACACAGTGACACACTGTGTGCAGTGTAACGTGAATATTGATGTCCTGCAGCTCACACTCATGAAGAAGGTTACCAGAATGTCTGCTGCAAAATACCTCTCTTTCTGGCCTATCATAACTGCATGACAGAAGGATACTAGCATCTGCCAAGACAAACTGGAAGTGTTGAAATTTCATTTGTCAGTGTCTGGCACTGCTAATCTGGGTGAGTCCATGTTTCTGTCCAAACCTTTGGCAAAGTTCTCTTCAGTGGCACATGCAGAAGATTGTCTTCCAAATTGAGCTCTAAATTTCTGTTAGTTATTCAATCAATGAACGTATAGCTCAGAGTTAAAGAGCCTAAGCAAATAATTTCCTAAAAATTCAAAGGCTAGGCTCTTGAATATCCACCTGAATAAATGTGTTCCCTCATTATATTTCACCTCTGCCAAAAATCAACATGATGAATGTTCCAGATTGTGGGCAACACCCCCAGCTTCCAAAAAGATGTCTCATAAAGATTAGGAATATTACTATGTAGTAAGGAGGAGAATTGAATTGTTTAGTTAGGGCTTACCTGTATACTCCATGTCCTGTCTTTGTAATTTGTATGTCTCAGATATTGGAACATAAATCATTTTGATTGAAATTAGGTGGAGACCACAGTCAACCAAGTATCAAACTCACCATGCTTTTGATCTTTAAAAGGATGTTAATTGGGCATCACATCTTTCTGGAAAGAATGATATCTATAGATTTTTAAAATCTCACAAAAATATTTATTTATTATTAAGTCCCTTTACAGATCAAGATGAAGCAATTGTATAATATAGTTACCATTTATGAGCACTCACGATGTTTGATTGTTAACTTTATTTTAATTAATCCACACCTGTGTATAATTGAGGTGTAGAGAAGGCAATTCATTTTTTCAAGGTGACATAGCCTTTAAGTGCAGAGCCTAGACCTAAACCAGGTAAATCTGATGCCACAGTCTCTCATCTAAACTCTATATGGCAAGACTTTGTAATATTTTATGGAAAATATTAGTGTTGGAGTTACCATATTTTTCAGACTATAAGACACATGTTTTTACCCCAAATTTGGGAGGAATAATGGTTGTTAATGCTGTTGTTGAGTTCTGTTCACATTTATATTAGTGAAATATTATGTTATTTATGTTATTAAATATTTTACCACATTTTTTGCTTAAGAATTTTTTTTTCTATTTTCCTCCTCTAAAACCTAGTTGTGTCTTATGGTGTGAAAAATAGGTAATTTCTTGATGACCTTAGAGCTATACCCAAGTGACTTGTAGGCAATACATAAATATGTAAAATAATATAAAATTTATAAAATAATAATTTTTGTCCTGGATTAACCACAAAAACTCCCTGCTGTCATGTGCAGATTATTAAGATATGCATCCAGTCCTTAGGGTGGGGCCAGAGCAGGCCTCAGGTGCCTGCTGACACTTGAATGAACAGGCTGCGGAGACACAATAGACTGGCGGGTCCTCAGGACTCTGAGTAAGAGAAGGGCAGTTGGAAATGTTTGACCCCTGCCTGAGAACAAGGGTTCTCTGGCACTGATGTTACCCTAATGGGGACATGCCTGGCTCAGCTTGCTGATGGGATGAGGATTGGTTGTCACATCTACAGGAAAGTCTCATCAATGGATGTTTTAGTACATCACCCCCATCTTACCCCTAGTCCCACATCCATTAATAAATCTGTGCAATGGATAAATACCTTAATGACTTGTGATCTTGTCCAGCTGTGTGATCATTTAACTTTGCTGGGACTCCTTGAACATGACATTGTTGTCTGTTAAGTGAAGTTAGACTCTTAAGATGAGCTCCACATTCCTTTCCGGGTTGGAAGTTGTATGTTAAAAATATGCAGTGGTGGTGGGAAAATGGAGACAACTGTATTCAAATATCAGTAAAACAAACAAACAAACAAACAAATGAAAACATGCAGCCTAAAAGGCAGATCCAGCCCACAGACATATTTATTTTGGTTTCCATGGTGTTTGTTTTCAATCAAGACTACATCTAAATATCAGGATGTTTTGCTGTAAACATTTAGCTTTTCTAGCTTCTTTTGAAACCTGGAATTAAAGAGCCCTGGCCCTTTATTCTCACACAACTTTGGTTGAAAGGAGTGTGTCCTGGACACCCAACCTGTTTCTGTCACTACACTAAATGGCCAGGGTTCCTGTGGGCCTTTACGTCTGCATCCTCCCTGTTCTTTGGTGAGATTTAATTTAATACAGTGCCTCCTCTAAATTCCTGAGTCCAGTCATCAAGCTTCCTGCAGAGGGCCTTGTTGGACTACACACTGCACAAGCCCCGGGGAAATCCCAGGATGAGTTGCACAGGAATGTGCTCTTTAGGAGAACCCACATTCACCTGGAAGCTGGCAGGGCAGCCTCTGGTGACTCAGACACCGGCCCGCCCATGCCCTCAGTCACTCTGCTGCCAGCCATGCCAGGTTTGTTTTCTCAGTGTCCATCCCTACTTACATTACCTCCCTGCCCCAAAGCTGATGCCGACTTCCCATTGTATGCCATGTGTAGGTGAGACTCCTCTCCAAGTTGGTGTGCTCTCCCCGCAGAGGCTCAGTGGGTCTACCCTCTCAGTGCTCCTTAGGCAGATGCCACCATTTCTATCAGTGTGTTGGGATCTCTGCTCTTTCCTCCGCATTTACTTCACTCCTTCATCTCTGTGGGCCACGATCCCACATAACTTCTTTAATGCTGCCTCTTCCTTGAAGAATTATCTTATTTACAAATGTCACCTTTCTTTCCTTTGAACCATTTAAAAAACAAAAACAAAAACTCAAATTGTACTGACATTGTCGTGTATTATAATGATTTATGTTCTTGGCTAAGTTCCAGTGGTAATAATGTTAATAATGGACTTCTTTCATTAAGTTATACCATAGACTGGGCACAGTGTTAAGTGATTTATATACAGCATCTCATTCAATCCTTGGAGACAGCCAGGAGAAAGTTTTGTTAGGGAGCTGTGGTGGAGAGTGGTTAAGAAGACAATTTTTTGGAATTTAACAGACTGAGACTTCCATCCCAGCTCCACCCTTAGTGGCCATTCTACCTTGGTCAGGTTTCTTAACTTCTCTAAGACTGAATTGTGTTATTTATAGAAAGGGAATAATATTTATCTCTGGAGTGTTCTGAGGGTAAAAGTCAGTTATTGATAACACTATTTTCTTATGACTGCTTTCCTTGTCACAGATTAGGAAACTAAAATTTGTGAACTTTAAGTAACTTGTTCAATGGCATGCAGCTAGTAAGAGGCAGAGCCTAGACTTGACCCTGAGGCGGTCCAGTTCTGAGGCAGGCTTCGTGCAGCACAGCGCTGTGGCTATGGCTGTTGCTTGGTCAATGTTGTTTGAAGCAACATCCTCTGATTTTTTTGAACCGCAATTGTTTATTAGTTCTGTGATGAAGAATAAGTTCTTTAACTCCTTTAAATATCAGTAGCCTGTTGTACAGTGGAGATAATAATTACACTTAACCCACAGGCTCATTTTAGGAATAAGTTAAATTAGATAGCTAATACATGTAAAATATCTAGTGTACATCAAGAAATATTCCTTATAATTAGTAAATAGTTGAAACTATGTCAAAGCTCTTATTGGGCTTTATTGGCACCAAATACAGTCAATTTTATTACAACATGAGCTGGGTTCCTAAAAATCATCACTTTGCTAATTGAGCAATAAAACCACAAGGCTCATGGCAAAACTAGGGCTGAGGGATATCATACTCAAAAACCTTGTCAATGACATATGAAAACAAATTTTTATGTAGCACCATTTTATACATTTACAATGGTTTATAAATAAGTAAATATGCATAAGTTGACATGGCACTTTGTCTTGGAAAACACCTGAAGTTTGCTCGTGGACGTCAGTGTCAGAGGATTGCAGCTTGTGAATCATTGCCCAGTAACGGAGGAAGTTACAGAAATTGCATGGAAAGTTGCAACAGCAGCTGTAGGTGAGCGGAGCTCATGCCACAAATGCGAACCTAGGTGTCTGGCATACATTTTGGATTTGTGTGTGTGTGTATGTTTTGTGTAGTTTATGCTGCTCTGCTCAACAGCTTTCTGCATTTATCTAGCCAATCTGTTAAATGAAATCATGCGTAAGCAAACACAAAATGCTCAAATTGTTCCTTTATGTTGGAATAAATTCATGTTTTCAAAACAAGCACTAAGATAGATGGACTGTACCTTGAGACTATCACAACCACTGTCTCTCAACCTCAACCTCAATTATAATTATTAAGCACTTAAATTATTCTGATTATATTAGGTGCTCAAGAGCTTGGAGACCAGGATTTGTGATTACTCTCATTTATCCACCAAAATTTCCACAGAGTATTAAGGACTTAACTCCAAAGCCTCAGGTCACTGCACATTCAAATTCTCTCAGACAAACTCATTGTAGTGTGTGCTCTTTTTCTCTGTCACACTGCAAATAGTCAGGAAGCCTCTTCACTGTATTTTCTTCCCAAATTAATTATCGCTTTATAAAGAATTCTGGTTTTTCCTCCTTTCAACTTGACTTACTCCCTTTCCCTTTTTTATCACTCTCTGTGTAAACTATCACTTTTATTCAAAATTGTTTAAATGATGCAGAATAAAAAAAGTTTGACTTCCTTCAACAGTCTGACATCAGTCAATAAATTATGCCAAGTGGCAGACCTTCCAGAAGAAAGAAATTGCTTAAGAATTTCAAACATTGACTAGAAAGAAGGGATCATGAAGCAAAGGAAGTCTGTAAGAAAGAAGAGTCAAACTTGGTATCTATTAGGACCCCCTGCTTGAGCCTAACATTACTGTCTTGGTTCAGGCTGATATAGGTGGGCTGGGCAAGCAGGTATGTCCACAAATTGGTGCTAAGGTTCAGTTCATTTCCATGAAAGACTAGAGAGCCTCCTGTGAATGAGCACACTTTCTGATACTTCTCAAACTTGACCCAAATTGGATTACTCTCCAGTAGTTTGTGGTTGCATAGATAGGGAAATATATGTATGGCATGTACTAAAATGTAGTAAATATTCATTTGTTTGTCTTTCCAGCATCCAATCCCCTGCTGTTGTAGAAACAGCACCCAGTTTTGCTTTGAGATACCATTTTCCTTCACCTTCATTATCTCTAGTCTAGGTATGCGTCCCTCATGTCCAGTTCCAGAGTCAATCAAAACATTCCTTCATGCCCAGTACTAGGGTTACCTAAGGCATACAACTTAATCCAGATCAATGAAAATTAGTCCTGAGATTTTTATTGGAATTCTTTGGGGGACAATGTTCTATTCCAGATTGCATTGCTCAGTTAATAAGATGTAGTCTTAGACTTTTTCCCTAAAGATCAATCAGGGAAATGTTTGACCTTTGTACCTCTGTACTAATGTTTTTCTACCCTGGAATTGCCCTCTTGGGATACCAATTGTAATCTATTTATTAAGGAGCAAGACTCAAAGAGAACCTTAGAACTTCTTTCCTCTTCTGCTCAAGAGATTCAGACAGAAAAGCTTGCTGCAGGAAGATCTTAGAATGTTCACCTTAGCCTAATTTGAATTACGTATGGTAAGTAAGAGGGCTTCAAGCAGGTACATATTAGCTAGATACCCCCTGTATTTCATTGTTTCTGAGTTACCCAGCACAAATTTTCCTGACATACATGTTTTGCTCTTCCTCCACTACCTATAAATCACTGATTCTCACTTCTGAAGTCTAATAGACCCTCCCTCTCCTCTCTCTTTTGTCCACAAATGTCATAAATACCCAGTGTTGCCTCAGTGTCTTCGGAAGTTTCATGCTTATGCGAATACTATGCACAGGTATTAAACTTTGAGTTTTCTTCTGTTAATTTGGCAAGTAGTCCAGCCAGCAGAACTTAGGAGGTGGGAGGAAAAGTGTGAAGCATATTAGCCCCCAGAGTTTTGGCCAGCCAAGCAGGAGAACTCACTGGCCGGGAATACTGCTAACCCTCTGGATCACTGCAGATGGCTGGTCATGGACGTCTGGCCACAGCCAGTGCAGGGGATCAGCATTTTACTCTCTGAGCCTCTCTAATCTCTTATCTGCCTCGTTCAATGAATATTAAAAGTGGTGAGAATCTTTTTCCCTTTTCTATATTTAGCTTGGCAGGAGAAAGTATTTCTAAACTAGTTTCTCAGGCAAACATGACTCTGGTAAAAACTTGTTTTGAGTCTCTTGTTTTCAGTCAGTCCTATTCCTTCCAGAGATACTCTGTTATCTCTGACAGCTGGAGGGTGCATGTGTGTCTGGTAGGCAGGTGAATAGGCTGTGAATTCGAGTGTAGGAAATCTCAAACGTCATTCTGGTTAAGGGCGGAGAAAGTGTGTGGGTCCCTGTGTTTGGGCACAGCTGTTGACAGACAGGGTTCCACATTTTTCTTAGGTTGTCTCTGGGAGGAAACTGTTGGGCCTGTGAGGGCTGCGGCCTAATGCTCCTTCTAGAAGTATTTTGCGTCCTAGTTAGGTCATGAAGGACTTACTGAATTGAGTCACTATTAAAATTCTACCACCACTGGCCACATGATAGATATCTTGACTTGAGAAAATTTCTAAACTAAAAATGTTTTTAGGGAGTGTTCATATTGATATCATTACTAGCCGTTAAGATACCCTTAATAAGATGGGAGAATAGAAATTAGTACAAAAATCAAAGTCTTCTCAGACCCCTTCTATTTACCTTCAGTCAAGGATAAATTAAAAATCTTGCATTTTCCCTACAATTATTAATAATCCTGTGTATGTGTGTAATCTCTGTTTTGATATGTGATTGTGTTTACATATGTTATGGTGTTTTATACCTCTGAAGGATATTACC